TTTATATGCGAAGTAAGGTTTATAGGAATAGTTAGGCTATAATATAGTTTTTAGTGTGTAAAAGTATGTATGTGTTTTTTTGCTGTAAATAGTTTTTATATCGTAGATCAAAACTTGATATAATTCTATATTTATAGTATTTATATTTGTATTAAACGATTTATCAATTTGAAAATAACCTTAATTAAGTTAATATTCGATGTTTAAGTTTCATTAGATAGGCTTTTATATATGGTTTTTTGTAAGTTTGAGTTTTGTTCATAAATGATGTGGCATTTTTATCTACGGCGTCATCGACTGTGGGAATCCATTCGCCGGAGTCTGGAATCGGTGGTGAGGAATGTTTTCAAGGAAATTATAGTACTTATTAAAATGTAAGAGAAATTATATATTCATTTAATAATAACGAAAATAATTAATTTTTGTTGTTTTATATTATTTTATTTTATCTCACATACAAATTTTTTTGAAAATATATATTAGGAAATATGTGCAATGATTTAACTTTTTGAGCTCCTAATCTATATTATTCAACCCTCATTAAGCCATCCACGTATGCACCCGCGTGGAATTCACTTCTTTTTTTTGTCTTTTTTTGTCTGTTCGTTTTTGGATTTATTTTTTTATTATTTTTGGGTTGAGCTATATTATAATAGGATAGTTTTAAGGTTCTTTAAGCCATCCGCGTAGGCAACCACGTGAGACTTGTTTTTTTGGTTTTTTGTTTTATTATTCGTTTTGGCTTCATTTTTAACTATTTTGGGTTTGAACTTGTTAAGGTTTAGGGTTTATACAACTATTTTGATCTGTAAAACAATAAGCCAAAAAAAAAACATAAGAAGCTTATAAACAAAAAACCTATATGATAATAACCTAAATAAAAAAATCAAAAATACATGATAGCTGCGTGGTTTGAACGCACAATCTTGCATACTTAATTAGACACCTTATACCACTTGGCTAAAGTGTATTTCATTGTTTGTGACCATTTTACCAAGACTATGTGTGTTTAAAAAATATTTTTAATTGGTTTATGCATGAGAACAGTGGGATTTGAACACATGTCCTTGGAGACCAAACATGAGGTCTTAGACCACTTGGCTAAACTGATATTCTTTGTTTGTAGCCATTTTAAAAAAAACTATCTATTTTAATATAAAAATGTGGGGTCCACAATCTGCCTATGTGGACACCTTAAGGAATCTTTAAACTGTATCATTATAATATAGATTATTACCTTTTCTCTATTGTTCAGGTTTATATTAGGAGGACAAATCTCGAAAAGTTGTTTTGTAGCATTTTCCTGAGAAGTAAAATTACAGGGTCAATACCTGTGTCTCTCTATCTGTCTAGTCAATTAGAGAGCGACTCAAGGCCACCCTTACTTCCCAATGTAATGTACGATGGAAATTTCGTTTGTGTTCTTCACATTTATGGGATATGTTGAACTAATTGACCAACACTGCGCAGAAAATAGCGTGTCTTTCATGTAAAAAAGATATAGATTCAACTAGCTAATACAAAAGAAAGTTCCGCCAGCCACTTGTGCCTTTTCTCTCAAGTCTTCACCTCAAAGACTCGCCCTATAAAAAAAGGAATCAGAGAGAAGAAGATGAAGTAGACAAAGATCTTTACTACTAATTCACCACAGTTCTTACCAGCAGACAGTAGGCAAGGAAGGAAAAGAGACAATGGCCTCGTACAAGACAGGAACATGGGCCTCTCTCTTTCTTGTAGTCTACGCCACCCTCTTGTATTGTTCGTGGAACTGGCTGAACTCTATTGTTGAGTGGTACGGAGAGAACCACAACACATCGTCTGGTTGGCTTGCGGTTTTCGCTTCGGTGCTTCTTGGAGCAGTAATCGGAGTTCTGTGGATGGCGACGTCGGCCCTGTTCATAGCTGTGCCGGCCATCGTTGTGATATGGGTATTAGCGGTGGTGATGATGGTGTTCTCATGGAGATGGAGTAGGATAGTGATGGTTGAAGGAAGGCAAGTGGCGAGAGAGATCGCTGGGTTTGTGTTTAAAGTTCTACTTAAAGTAGGATTTTTTGTGGCTCTTCTTTCTGCTCTTCTTGCTTACTTCGTCTTATTCAACTCTTACTCTTCCTCCTCCTGAAGTGATCTCCTTTGTTGGATTTGATGTGTTTTTCTGATCTCAGATCGAATGGTTGCACGTCATTATATAACCACGTCAAGTTATTGTCTTTGTTACTTATTTCTTTGAGGAGCACATATTCTTCTTCTTCTTTTTTTTCGGTTACTCTGTTTTATGTATGTGGCTTATGAGTAATAATAATACGGGTTTTATGAGTTATAGTCAATCATTGGAGAACTTGGTTAGTAAAAATGCTATATATATTTTTGGATTAGTCTTGTTTTAAGAAAAGTAATCTTTTAGATATTTACTCAGCCAAAGAGAGGAGCAAGTGGTTGCATCACCTCTGCTGCCATTGTGCCACAGATGAAAATAAAAATTTTACTCAGCCATCATTCTTAGGATGTCAGCTCATTTCGCGGTTTAATAACTGAAATAGTTTCTCTGTGAAAGACCAAAAACACTAACTTTGTTTCTCTAGGAAACAATATGAATGATGATTGAACAAAGTTGCACAAGTTGGGCCTTGTCACAGGACGTCTTAAGAAAACCATGTTGAGAAAACTTTGTTAGACAGACATTTAGAAATGTACACATAGGATATGATTCTAATTTGATTAGTTCATAAAGGGTACAAAGGGGATTCATATTTATAAGCACAAAGGAAATCCAAAAACTAAGTTCCAACCATGAACTATACCCTTCAATCTAAACACTACAGAGATAAATGTAAATTGAAAAAAAAAAAATTAACTAACTAGATGATCTAAGCTTGACCAATCTTGGAGATGTTCTCGTTGAACTTGTCTTCTTCTTCTCCTTAAGTCTCTTCCCATCAGATCCCAATTCAATCGATTTCTTATTAGCTTTAACAACAACATTGATCTTACTTTCTCCAGCCACTCTATCAAAATCATCAGAGAGCTTTCTTCTGATCCTAGCCACACCTTCATCCTCCGATCCTATCCCCTCCTCCTCATCGTCAACATCATCGTTCAGATCTATGTACCTTCTCCGTTTCACAGCAACAGGAGCCGCGGGAGGAGAATCGAAATCGTGCTCAGATCTTCTCTTCTTCCTGTCGGAATCTCCAGATTCTATTTTCACCGGAGTGGAATTCTCGAGTTGAGCACGGAGCTTGTCGACGTTTCCTTCGATCCGTCCCTGGAGACGGAGGCGGGTGAAGTTGAGACCGCCCATGGACCAGTGGGCCTCTCTGGCCCATGAGAGGAGAGGATCGAGGACGGAGAGGGGAGGATCTACGCGGTGAGAGTTGAACTTTGGGTTGTCGAAGAAACGAGGACGGGGAAGGGCGTTTCCGTAGAACTCCACGGGTCTTATGGCAGAGGTTTTTTTCACGGGGGACATCATTGTGTAAGTTTTGGGAAGGAGAAATCGAGTAGAGAGAGATAGAGGCGGAGGAGGATGTGTGATGGAGATTGGGAGGTTAGAGATGTGTTTTATATGGGAGTAGTGGATAGATCTTGGCGGGTGCGGTTATTGGCGCCAGACTCTGCCGCGCTTCTTCAAATAAAATAACTTGGCGCCTCTTCAATTTTGCTTCCGCGCTTTTTATTTAGTTTCGTGTGTTTACGCGCGTGACTTTTTATTAACGCGGGGTTCTACTTTATGACATTTATAATGCTTTTTTATTCTATGTATTTTTATTGGATATGCTTTGTATAATCTTTTATAAACATTTTTTCTATAAAACGATACGGAATACATAAGATTCACTTCTTCTTTTTGACGAAATTAGAATTTATCATTATTGTAAACACAGTCAAAATACAAGTAAATAAATAAAGAACTACAATGTCAATAGATAGAATTTCCTGATAACAAGATATTACATAAGTATATCATCATATGCTGAATTTGATTATGCTTTCCAAAGTAAAACTTATCCGCTAACAGATTTCTTACACTGCTGTTGCATACTCTCCACATAAACAGAAGGTTGTGCAGAGGGAAGCAAGATCAGAGATTTGGGTTAAAGAGGAAGTCGAACACAGATAAATAGGCTTCAAGGAAATCTGAACTGATCCCCATTACACATCAGATTCAATCTATTGGGCCCAATAAAACTAGGGCCTATACACTAACGTTAACAGGAAACAGTTTTTTATTGTGAAAAACATAGAACTAGAGGAGCTTCTCACCATCCTCTGGGAGGCCCTCCTGAAGACTGTACACTCAATCTGTCAACGAGTGCGTTAAAGTCTATAGCTTGATCACTCTCCTCCATCCTCTGTATTACGGCCATGACGTGCTCTCCTCTAAAACCCATGCTTACTAGCTTCTCTATCAGCTCACCATATTTTGATCTCAAGACACGAGATTGTGTCCCTGTGTTACCACTACCACCAGCCTGGTGCTGCTGAGGTGCGTACCCACCACCTTGTGGACCTTGCATGTAGTGACTTTGATGTTGTTGCTGCTGCGGCTGAGGTGGTGGGTATTGCATCCGCCCACCTTCATACATGTTATAACCAGGCGGACGAGGCCTGAGGGTAGATACCCATCGCCTGTCTGTGGATTATAAGACATCTTTGGCTTCTGTAGAGCTTGATATGGTGGTTGTGGTCCATCGTATGGTGATTGCATCTGTATACTGCTTGGCAACGGTTCTACTGGAAATTGGTTGCTTGATGGTGCAGGCGTGTATGGTTGGTAGGCTCCACTGACTGTGGCTGCGGAGGCCAATTTTGCTGGTACTGCGTGAATGAGTGAGATTGAGCCGAGCTTTGGTGAGATGGAGAAGGAGGTGGGGGCATGAACTGAGCCTGAGACGGTGGAGGAGGAACAGGGGCTGGTGGAGGTGTGTTTTGAAGCTGTGTTGTAGGAGGAGGCATGTAATACCGCTGCGCTGCTGTGTAGGTGGTTGTGGTGCTATTTGGTGAGGCAAAGCAAGTGCAAGCTGTAGGTTGGTTGCATCATCTGAGTTGTTCTCACTCTTCTTATGCCCTGAAACAGGAGTCGCGACCCGCTCTTCACCGTGTTGAGAGTGAGACGAGGAGGATGAACCTTTCGACACAAGTTGAAGCCTCGCCAGCTCCTTCTGAGTATCCACTCTTGTTTATCTCTAAGAACTTGAACAGACCTATGCACCTAACATCAGCAACACCCATTGCAGAATCAGAATCTTCACAAAGTAAGCATAAACACACCTCTTGAAGACGTTTATCCAAAGACCTAAGCCGAACATCAGTCTTATCAAGATTATAGCAATTCTAACTGGAACAAACGTGAGCTTAATCCTTCAAGAAACCGCATCATATTGTCTGAATACTTACTTCTTCATGCTTCTCTCGACAATGAAAGTAAGCTCTTCCCTCAAAGAGTCCTCTGGTGGAGCGTAAGAGCTTGTAGGAAAAACCGATGACCTCGCCATCCTCGTCTTGTGAAATTCCTACAACAGCAGGAAGCAGTATCATAATCAAGTAAATGAAATCTTCTTCGAGGCACGACTAAAAGTAACAACCTTTATAGAAATAAAGCAACAGGACATGTCAATAAGTTTCGATTAACCTAAGAAACGCGTCATCTCACTTCAAATTCAGAACCAAATCCAAACCCTAGAATCCTTGAAATATAAACTAAACTCGCAAAATGGACGGAAGGTTGGTTCTTTGTTACCTTATTGGAGTTGGTAGCATCGAAGTTGGAGTCATTGTTGGTGAAGTCGTTGTAGGAGGAGAGGATGTCATCAGACCCGAAATTGAAGTCCTTAGAACCAGAGTTGACCCGACCCGAGGATCCGGAAGCCATGGATCCGGGCACTGAGATCGATTTGTGATGGAAGAATGAAAAGACGGCGAAGTCGCTTAGGTTACTGTTAAGCCTTGGGAGCAAAGTAAAAGCTGGATTCCTTCAGACCTTTTGAGGAAACGTAAGCAGAAGAAGAAGAAGAAGAAGCAGGAGGCAAACGTTTTTCTAATGTGATAAAAGGATGCAGAGAAACGAAAACAGCCAAGCCGACTTTAGAGTTGAGTTTTCAATTGTATTAATATTTTAGTTTTCATCCCCAGAGATTTTGACTATTATTTGTTTTACCCGTTTGATTGGATTAGTTAAATTACAACCTTGGAAATATTGAACGGCATCGTTTAAGTAGTGGTGTGGCTATTTCGACAAATAAATTTGGAAGGTTGATTCCAATGTTTTTAAACCCGATCCGAACATTGAAGCAGATGACTTATCGGATTATTGGATCACTGGATCAACTATGGATAAACCACGTATTAGTAAATAAATTAGTTTTATTATATAACAATATATTAGTTATGCAAATAGAAATAAAGGAAATTAAAATTAAAATTTTCTAATTTAAAAAAAAAAACATAAAATTTGGTTATGTATATACTTTATGTTTGAAAAACATTTAGAAAATACTTAACTTTACTCTTATATTTTTGTTTTCATTTAACCTACCAAATATCAAAAATAGTTTAGACGATTTAAATTTTCTTGTCATAAGTTCAGAATTATGACATGTAAAATAAATCAAGACATAAAGTTCATGAATATTTAATTATCTAACCTGAATAATAAATTAAACTCAAAATTAAAAATAAACCAAAAACAAAACATCATTACAATAAATTTTCAATAACAAAAATAAAATAACACCGAATCACATTAACTATTTTGATTTTCTTTACCATTGTTTACTTCATTTTTTTCAGGTTTCATAGTGAAATCTTCATCAAAATCTAAAAATTACAAATATAAAACTGAAAAGTGAAAATCTAACTTTTTAATTGAAAATTTAGAATACAGAACAAAATCTAAAATATAATTAAAAACTAAAAAAGGTTAAAATTATCTATTGGTTCAACCAGATATCGGGTTTTGGGTTTTAGTGAGTTTTCACGAGTTTTTGCGGATATTTAAATTTTGGATTTTTCACAAAACTCAAACCGAATTTTTTTCTGGATCATCAGGTTTACCGGTTCAACCACGGATCCGGGTTGGGTTTTAAAACACTGGTTGATTCTATGGAGATATAAGTTGAGAGAGTATTGGCAGACTCTTCAGAGTAGTGCTATTATTTATGTATATACTTTATTAAAATTTAAGTGAATAATGTTTGATGAGATGAATGTCTCACATTAAATTTGGTGTAATATTATAAGAATCAAATAGTGTAATTTTTAGTATTGAATATGGAAAAAAAATTGTGTGAAAATTACATAGAAACAGAGTTTCAGTGTTGGGTTGGAAATGATATATACTCAAAGAGTAATTGGTTAAAGGAGCTTTGATATTGGTCTTTGTGGATTCTTAGCATTTTATTGCTGTTTATCTAATAACTCAGTATCTTTCTGAGCACTGAATACTGCTATTGGTGGTTGTTTGGGATATATAGTCACGATTGTTAGCTAGGCTTTTTTGACGAACATATTTTAGTTGTCGCATCTGCAGATTCGTCATTGGTGGTATTGATCGATAGTTGGGACAAGTTCCTCTAAGAAGTATTTGTTATTGGTAGCGATTAAAGAATGTATTTTCTGGTTTACTTTGGTTTAGCGATTGTTATCTGATTTAACACTGCAGCTTGATTATTTAACTCTTGGTGAAGGTTGTGGTTAAAGAACTATATCTTCTACACTAACACTAACCAGGTGAAGAAAACTACTAGCATACATTTCTCTCTCACTGATCTGCTACGGTTCAAAAAATTGAAAGTTGTGATCAGAGTATTAAACTGATTCTTTATACTGCCTATGTTTTCTTGGGTTACTAACAAGGACTCCAACATATACCACACTGAGTTGCTTCACAGTATACATTTTTGGTTAAAAGGTTGCTTCAAATCGTTCTCTTCAAGTCTTTGTAAGATTTTATCAAACCTATTGAAGTCGATGTGAAACTCTTGGGAAGAGATATTCCACAATCACTTTATTGAAGTCGATCGTAAACTAAGTAGTTGGCTTCTTGGTTTTCGACATGATCAATGAATGATTCACGTTAAAGATATGGATGACCGAACACATTTTTGGCCGGTGAAAAGTAAAGATATGTGGACGCAACTAGCCGCAAAGTTTCTGCTTTGATTTGTATCCAAACATCTTCAGTCAAAGGCTTTAATAATAAAACATTAACAGGTATCAAATACGTCATGGTAGGGTGCTTTAGTCGTACGCTTATGTCGTTGACCATGCTTAATAAATTATTCAAGGGGCTAGGATTCCTTTGTTTTCTTAAACAAGAAAATGACCCAAGATGATTTGAGTAAAATATTGAGAAGAGTATTGAAAGTTTAACGAGATTGTATTGTCTTTCTCAAAGAATAAATGTGGTCACATTAAAGTTAAGGACAATTCTTTCAGATAGTCCTATTAAAAGTTTTTATCACAAAAATAGACTTTAAAAATTAAAATGACCAAAATAGTACTTTTTATTTTGAAAATTTTAAATTTTTTCATTTTTTTAAATTTGAAACCATATCCTCAAAACCCAACTTTTCAACTCTAAACAAAAAATCTAGAATTATTTAATCCAAGGGGTATAGATATATATTTAATAAAATATTTAAGTGTTATTTTGATCATTTTAATTGTTAAGATCTATATTTGTGACAAAAAAAATTTAAGGCTTATTTTAATCATTTTCTCTAAAATTAACGTAAAAGAGAAATATCTCCAGAAAATGAGAAAATCATATGGAGTTGGACGTGTTAAGGTCTTTTGCCACAAATCAGTTTGCATCAACTTGCATGTGAGATTAACTCAAAAGCAAATAATCAGATCCACTTGTTCAATACCATTGTTCCCCCGTCACTAGTGTCCTGACATTATCTTATCGTATATCCAAATAAAAACTTATCTTAGACTATCCACAATAGAGAAGTTTGATTTACATTTTTCTTTTTTTGAACAGCAGAAATTTGATTTACATTTTCAAACAAAACAACACCAACTAACGAAAGCAGCAATGTCCTAACACGTGGGTGGCTTAGCAACCAATGATGCACACATTTCCATTAAAAGACCAACCAATCAGACAATCTCATGTATGTACCTCTTTGTGTGGTTCTAACTCCGAGATTCAAAGTCCACTTCTTTTTCTTCTGGTTATTCTTTGACCAAATAGCCCTTTTTCTTTTGCATTTGTTCCACACACATTTGACATAACATACATGGCTCAAGAAACTCTGAAGAGAGGGTAAAACGGAGAATATTTTTATGGCTACGTTTATAAAACGTGTCAAAGTAACATAATTTAACTTTTCCCGTTGCATATATAAGCCGTCAGTTATCTCCCAAAGACATCAGGGTTGCAGATTGTATTTTATCTATTTAGCAAAGTAAGAAAACGACATGAAGAAATCTGGAATCCTCGCAGCTTCCATCTCTGCGGCAACTTCCGCTACCACTGCCATCTCAGCCACCACGAACACCACCGTATCCTTGTCTTTTCCGGAATCTAAGGTAAAAAAAAAAAAAGTAAAAGCAAGCTTCAGCTTCTCTGTTTTTGCTATGTCTGAAATACTTATAAACTCTATAAAGATGCAATTAACAAAAAAAATGTCAAACTTATCAAACTACCACGTTAGATATATGAGAAAAAGATTATGTTTTAATGGATTCAGATGTATAAATAATAATTATATATTTTATTTGACTGATTTTGATTAGGATTCAAAGGAGAAACAGAGAAAGAAGACGGGTTCTGAAGAAGGGGGAGATGAGAAGTTTGCTCCAAGGTTTGATGGGCTAAGATTCATTGAGACCCTTGTTACTGCTCACCGATAGGCTATAACCTTTTGCACTCTTCTGATTTGACAAAGTTTGATATAGTTTCTACCATTTATCAAAAACAATTATTGATTTTAATGTTTAAGCTTTTTTTTTTTTATTGTAACTTTGGGTTAAATTGTAACACACCATGTTTTGACATGTTTATACGAGATTCATTTGCCTTGGAGATTAACTAATTACATTAGCTTATTAGCTACCAAAACGTTGTCTATGACTTGCTAGTATTTTTCTGTGTAACGAAATTTTCACGAGGACTCGAATGTGTAGCGTAATGGATATGGATGCTACTAGTATTGTTGATAAGAGATCATATGGATTCAATTCCACACAATGCATAATTCTGAAACACAGGTCAGCCTAAACAAAAATCTAAATTCCATCTATGATTTGACGAAAGAATTAATGGAGTTACTTAACATTTTAATGTCCATATATTTCTCGAATCTAAAATTTAAAGAGTTATAAACATTTTTATATTATTCTCAACATAACAATTTTTTTTTGACAATCTAGAGATCATTTGACACATGTATAATATCTTATATATTAAAACAGAAGTCATAACTTGAATTCATGTGTGATTTTTTTTTAAAATGGACTATTATTAGAAAGTCATGTTACATTAACTCTTTAATAATCTTATCATTATTATATCTTATGAAAAATCATATCTATAGTAACAAATATACGCTTAACAATTTCGTTTTGGTAAATTATCCCACACTTTCCAACTTAGTCACGCAAAATATGTCAATAGATATAAGTTTAGGAATTTTCTATTATTTATAAGGAAATATGTCAATAATAGTTAAATGCATCCACAATATATTAACAAAAAGCACATATTCGTAATATGGAATATTTATATACCCTAACAAAATTTACACGCTATATATACTAGATAAATTTATTTCGATGTAAATTTTTAAAATTATATTTAAAAAAAAAAGAAAAATTGCTTAAAAAATTCCTTTTTAATAAAATTCTTTATAATATTAATTTATGAAGCTATAAGTTTAGTTTTTAGCAAAAATTTCTTCAAAATTTATATTACCTTTGCAAATTAAAGTATACTAATATTTAATCAAGCTCTATTTATATTAATTTATCTAAAAATGAAATACTAATCTAACAAACAATAAAATATAGAAGAAGAAACAAACACATGTTTGAAAAAACATATTAATATAGAAAATTTGAAACAATCTATTTGATTAAAACACATATTATATAATATTATTATGTTTGAAAAACACTTACTATACATATTATAAATATGTGATTACTATAATATATACCAATTTACAAGTGAAAATAAAATGTTTATATAACTAAATATAAACGAAAACAAACACCCGCGCGGTTGCGCGGGTCAAAATCTAGTCTTATATATTAAAACAGAAGTCATGATTTGACTTCATGTGTGATTTTTTTAAAAATGGACTATTACTAGAAAGTTATGTTACATTAACTCTCTAATAATCTTATCATTATTATATCTTATGAAAAACCATATCTATAATAACAAAGATACGCTTAACGATTTGGATTTGGTAAATTACCTTACACCTTCCAACTTAGTCACGCAAAATATGTCAATAGATATAAGTTTAGGAATCTTCTATTATTTATAAGGAAATATGTCAATAATAGTTAAATGTATCCACAATATATTAACAAAAAATCACAGATTAGTAATATGGAATATTTATATACCCTAACAAAATTTACACGCTATATATATTAGATAAATTTATTTCGATGTAAATTTTTAAAATTGTATTGTTTAAAAAAAAGAAATTGTTTAAAAAATTCCTTTTTAATAAAATTCTTTATAATATTAATTTATGAAGTTATAAGTTTAGTCTTTAGCAAAAATTGCTTCGAAATTTATATTATCTTTGAAAATTAAAATATACTAATATTTAATCAAGCTCTATTTATATTACTTTATCTAAAAAATGAAATACTAATCTAACAAAAAATAAAATATAGAAGAAGAAACAATTACATGTTTGAAAAACATGTATAATATAGAAAATTTGAAACAATCTATTTGATTAAAACACTTATTATATAATATTATTATGTTTGAAAAACATTTACTATACATATCGTAAATACATTATGTGATTACTATAATATATACAAATTTACAAGTGAAAAAAATATTTATATAAATAACTATAAACGAAAACAAACACCCGCGCGGTTGCGCGGGTCAAAATCTAGTAATTCTTTAAAATTTGAAGATTGTTTAATTCGACTGTGCTCAAAACGGTCATACATATCGTCTAGTTGACAGTGACACCAATAAAATATTATAAATTCACTTGTAACCCATGTTGATTAGCTAATTTAATTCTGGCCCAGTTAGTTCGAAGGTTCATGTATTTTAGATTTTTTTTTACATTTAAATAACACTTTATTTGCATTGTGACCCCTGTAAATGGTGAAAAGCAATGCGTGTGTGGAAACAAGTGGGAGTTATGCAGGAGGAAGAGACGGAGAGGTGGCGTTGACGCTGGTGCAATCCATCCCACCTTCGCCTTCTGAACACATGTCTACGAATAATCGCAGAGGATAATGACCGTAGATTTCAATGAAGTAGAACATTTCGGCGGCACATTCTGTCGTTTTATCGCTAATAGCTTCCGCGTATGGGCAGGCAAATTCCTTGAAGGCCGAGCAACATTCATTGGCTTGATAGTTTGGTCCTTTGCATCTACTCGTTATGATTGTGTAATCCTTGTTCGCAAAATCTTCTTTGCATGCTGTTAATATCAATGGGATCATGCATGAGCTCAGCTTTCTATAAGATCAATGATTCAAGTTTCGGGAAATATTAGATTTCTTACGTTTCTTTTCCCGAAGAAGAGCTCGGCTTGTGGCTGGGTGTGACTCAAATTCATCAACTGCACATAAGAGATCTTTTTAAATAACTTTAAACACTTTTTAATCAACATAAATTAAAATACTTAATATTTGTAAATTACGAGAGATGTGGAGAGACGAGGCGAATCCTAACAAAAGGATGATTGAGAAAAGAGAAACCAAACCATGTGGAGAAATCTTCATGTTATTTTTTTATTTTTTGTAACTGTTCTGTTTCCTTCTTGTCAAAATTGATTTTCTAAACATTTTTTTTGTAATATTTTCGTTTTCGTGTTATGGAGTTATGGGAGGGGAGAAAAATACTGCGGATGTACCGGATAATTAAGTAGAAAAAGCAATATTAGTATGTTATTTTGGTTCAGCTACCACTAGTTAATAATTCAAGAAAAAACATCAAATTAACCAAAGCTTTATTGAGAAAACAAATATATTAGTATGTTAATTATTTGGTTCAGCTAACACTACTTAATATTTATTATAATCAATTGGGAAACGCCCATTTCTTGGCTCGGTTCTCTGGATCGTTAATAGCAATTTGCTCCATAATTTGATACGAGACTTTGAAAACATTATCGTGAACGTGTATCTAGGATATTATATCAACGTATTTTAAATAACATTTATAAAGATACAAGTTACAACCATAACCAATACTTTTGTTATTAATTAGTAATGTTGAACATGAACTATATGATAATTCGTGTCGGGATAAATGGGTGCTCCGTAGGGTTAGCACGTATACATGTTTTAGATTCTCTTAGCAAAAGATTTATCACATTCTTCTCTAAACAATAATAACAAAAATGTAATTTCTCAATCTGGTGTCTTACCCGAAATGTATTTTCTTTACTGATTCTCACTTTATCAATGATATTACGAGCCAGTCTAGCCTTATCTAACAATACCGACGGTGTAAACATTCAGAGAGATTGTGGAGAATTTAGTTTTACTGTTTTACCTTTAGATTTAGCCTTTGAAATTATTAAGAGCACCTAAACGGAAATCGGTCTATCCTTTTCTTGTAATGGAAATGTTTATTTAGGACAGTAGTTTTGTAGTTATATTTGAAAATTTGATTGATTGAGAACTAAGTATTTTAGTTTTGAGAAAAAATAAAATAGAGCAAGTTGTTGATCTTTAACATTCTGTTCATAGACTAAACTTTGTTTCATCATAATAGTCAGACATAATGGTGACGACACAGCATACAATATATGAATTTGTAGGCAGTCCTTTATTATTACAAGTCACAAGGAGTGAGCAAGTAGTAATAAAGGACAGTCTAGTGACAATAAATATATCTGAAACTACATATGGTAAGGTGAACTGTGAACACCTTTGGTGACGTGTAACCTAATCATCTTGTGTGGTTTAATCTGTATGACTGTTGGTAGATAATCCCTGTAATTAAGCCTTTGAAAAACTTATTGTTATTATCCAATTCCAGTTTAATCACGCAACTTACCAAATTGTCATTGTTATTCTCCCATCATCTTTTCTGCTCTCAACTCATCACTCAGCAGCTGATAGTTACAAAATACAAATTATGAAAAGAATACAGAGAAGTAAGGTATTCAATAAGCAGAACTTTTCAACTAATCTAATAAAAATGAAAACAAAAAAGGGTAATGATGGTGTAACGGTCCAGCCATAGAGTTCCACGTCGTTAGACTTGGGAGTGTATCTATGATGTTGCCAAAAACTACCAACTTCTTATCTTTTCCAGAGCCAAATTCTTATCTTATGAACATTATATAGAGATAAAGAGAAAAAAGTCATGGATAAATTTTGTGATTTCTAATATTCTATATGTCATTTTTTCTGTAAGGTCATCATGTGGAATTTCCATTCCAGTATCTGATTTTTTTGTCAACATTGTCCTGTGAGTAAATATTTATTAGAGTGATTCAGCGAAATATCCATATTAGGAATTTATATTAGAAAAGTATCTATGATTTCACATAATATAAGATTTTATACAATTAATACTTGGTTGGTCATTGGAGTTCCTCTTGCATTCTCGGTCTCCTCTGCAATTCTTTATTATTTCTGATATTCTCTTTTTTTCTCCTCTCTTACTCTCTCTTTCCTTTTTTTATTATTTTTTTATTATATTTTTTTTTCTTCCACATTTTCTTCATCCAAATAATTTTTATTCATTAAAAACTAATTGACACACTAAACAAAATAATTTTTATTCATTAAAAGCTAATTAACACAAGAAACAAAGTATCGTTTTGTTTAATTACACCACCGATTGAGAAAATCAACATTGCAATATCTTTAAAATCACCGATTGTTAAAAATATGTTATCTGTAACAAATAATATATATGTTATTAGATGTGTTACCTATTAACAATGCATGTACCAGAGGTGTTAGCTGTTAATAAATATTGTAGATCTTAACATATGTGTTAGTTATTAATAAATACATGTAACAAATGTGTTAACAAAATTGTTAGCTCCTAACAAATATTGTAAATGTTAATAGAAATGTTAGGTATTAGCTGTTAACAAATAGATAATGTAGAAATTTTAATTTTTATATCACAATGAGTAAATATTAAAAAATTAAAGTTATTTTTTAAAACTATATATGAAAAAAATATATATATTTGAAGGAGTGAAAAAATAAGAACCGATAAAATTGAAGATCCAAAGTTACATATGAAACAAAAAAAATTAAATTAAAAGTGAATTGAATATAAATGATAAAGATTTGTATAATAATTAAATATTGAAGCTACAGACATCACATATATTTTCGGTGAAGAAAAAAACTAGAAGGGAAGATGACAAGAAGTAGTTGGAGAGAGAGGATGACAAGACTAGGCAAATAGGAGCAGAAAGAACCAGAGGTGTTTTGGTAAACAATTCTAAATAAGTTAAATCAAGTGTAAAAAACAAATTAGGGAGTCAACAGTGGTGTCTTAGCAAATCATCTATATTTATTATTCTATAAATACTACCTCTTAAAATCTATAATATATGTTATTCAATTTCATTTCCTTACAAATATAAGTTACTTTACATTTCTATTTATCATATATTGTATACTAATTATGTCTTTTCAAGTGTCTAACCCAACCAGTATATAATATATATACTAAATGATATTTTTAATAATTTATGTTATATGTACTTATGTTGTACATCTAATTATATTTTACAGTTTGTATTACGGATACTAGGTGTTTTGTCCGCACATGCGAACTTAACTATTTTTGAGTCAATTTTGAAATCATCTAAATAAATGATTATTTGCATCTAAACAATTTGACCTAAATCGTTAAACTTTTTTACATGAAAATGTTATTCACAAATTAAAAAAAATCTATTTTTTCTTTAAAACTTTGAAAAATCTAAAGTTCATTTCATTTCTTCTTAATTGATAAAAAATATAGAAATCTATGTTTCAATTTGAAAAATTAAATCGATAAATATACATTCAAAATTAATCTTACAGAAAGAATAATATTAGTTTGGATAATCATACAATATATTTAAATTTAATTTTGTCAAACAAGTATTTTCTTTTTTTTTTTTCTTTTTTTTTGAATGATCTTTTATTTTATTATGATTAATTCATGTTTAAGGTTTAACTATACATCGTATTATAATTTCACAAATATATATCATTATATTATATTATTATATTTTTTAATTTGAAAATAATTACGTATTATAAATTTTTCATTTTTCTCTTTTTAATTATATACAATTAAAATTTTTTCTTTATGAATATTTATTTATGTATTTTCCTGTTTTTGAAATTTTTATTAAATATATTTTCCGGATAACAACACAATATATATATGAACTATCTTTTTTATTTCTAAATATATATATAGATTATGGATAACTCTTATCATTATTATTAATTTAAATCATTTATCTAATAAAATAATATTAATTTTGTTTTTGTTTTATCAAACTATATTTTCAGATAACATCACAATAATATTGAATTATTTTATTTAAAAAGATATTATTTTGATTTTGCATAATTTTTATGATTATTATTAATTTTAGTTACTTATCTAATCAAAGTAATTTAAATTCGTTTATATTTTTAGCTAATTTATAAAGTTTATTCACTAAGGGTATAAATGATATTAACCGCTCTAACTTTTAATGTGGGAGCTTCGAAGTAAAAAATCACTTCGCAAATAATAGTATAGATTTCTAAATATATATATAGATTATGGATAACTCTTATCATTATAATTAATTTAAATCATTTATCTAATAAAATAATATTAAATTTGTTTTTGTTTTATCAAAATATATTTTCAGCTAACATCACAATAATATTGAATTATTTTATTTAAAAAGATACTATTTTGATTTTGGATAATTTTTATGATTATTATTAATTTTAGTTACTTATCTAATCAAAGTAATTTAAATTTGTTTATATTTTTTTAGCTAATTTATAAAGTTTATTGATTAAGGGTATAAATGATATTAACCGCTCTAACTTTCAACGTGGAAGCTCCGAAGCGAAAAATCACTTCGTAAATAATAGTATAGATTAAATATATTAATGTATATACTTTTAATTAAATAATTTAATATTTATGTTTTTAAGTTAAAACAAGTGATATTATGATACTTCTATAATATTATTTGTGAATAAAACTGTATTAGCTAGCAAGTAATAAAAGAAAAAGAAACAAAATAAATAAATAAAATATTAAAATGACATTTTTTTTTTGTCATCAACAAAAAACACAGATTCATGATGATTCTACAAATCAAACTGGAACCATCGCATTTATTTAGTTTATCAACTTGTTTTTAATAAGGTAGACGTTTCTCCTTTAAAAGTCATAACTTATGCAGATTTCAATTTTGCATCTAAAAAATAATAATAATTGTGTGTATAACATAAGCTCTCGTGCGTTGACAAAAAAAAATATAAGCTCTCGTGCTTTTCTGCACCACTCTCGATCTATTATTCTTCTTACCCATTCTGCTCTCCCTAAACCCAAATACTTCTCCTCCTCTGTTCTTTGGCCACTGTCGCATGAAGCAAATCAAAAGGCTTAAGTAGTACTTAAGAGAAGAGATTCATATATGTCTAACAAGCTCTTCAAAAGTACGTCTCTTTTATCTTTCGAAATCGTCGGTCTCTATATATCTTGTCTTTGCTTTTGTATGTGTGCATCTAAAGGCGTATAATCAGTAGATCTGCACCTGTTCTTGAATAACTATGCACGCTGTGATTCTTTAATTTGGAATACATAATACTATGTGGGTTTTAGACCATACGAATAATCTCCTTGTGCTCTTATTTGATTAATTTCTTTAGCCATTTTGTTTTCCTTTTTTTCGTGTATGGTGTATGAATAATAACGTTATTTGAGATTATGGAAACAGAGCAAAGCGTGAAAACCTAAAGTGATTAGGTCAAGTCTTGTTTTTAATTGTTCTTTTTTAACAGTCTTGTTTTTAATTATTGTTATCTTCTTTTCTCTCTCAAAATTTCGTATTTTAGGTCACTATGTTTCACACTTTCACTCGTTTTCTTCCCTCAAATTTTAAAAAGTTAAGCAAGATCATGATTGGTGTATAGATGACTCTTTTAAATTTGTAATGATATATTTATAACCAATGATCAGTCAAGTGAATGGGGTTTATCTGGTACGTTTCAGTAAAATGGAGATAGAGAACCAAGAAGATAACCGAGCAGCGTTGGGTGACTCAAGAGGAGACTTCGATTGCAACATATGTTTGGATCAGGTTCGAGACCCGGTCGTGACTTTTTGTGGCCACTTGTTTTGTTGGCCTTGCATTTACAAGTGGATTTATTCATCCAACACATCAAGACAACGAGTCGATCAGTACGATAAGAAGGAATCTCCAAAATGTCCGGTATGTAAATCCCATATCTCAGAGGCTACGCTTGTCCCTATCTATGGACGGGGACAGAAAACATCCCAGTCCGGTTTAACCCTACCGAACAGACCATCCCCTCCGGTTTATAACGTAAGAGGAGTTGGTCAAAGTTTAGGAGAAGGTGAGAGTCAACGGTACATGTATAGAATGCCTGATCCGGTGATGGGTGTTGTATGCGAGATGTTATATCGTAGACTATTTGGTGATTCTTCTAGAAACGTGACACCGAACCGGAGCCACAGTGACACAAATATCCGGTTAAGTCGGCGGCCAATGCAGGCTGAGGAGTCGTTAAGCAGAGTCTACTTGTTCCTCCTTTGCTTTATGGTTATGTGTCTGATTCTCTTCTAGTTATAATGTCATCTGGCATATAAATTTACTAGTATGTAAGTGGCACCAAACTGGCTTTTGTATATTTTCATCTAGTAATAATAATATGTGATGATGAATAAAAGAAGGCTTATCTTTAACTCAATCCTTCATGTGCACCCAAAAAGATGATATTGGTATTAGATTGCGACGCAAACGGTGTTGCTTATGTTGGATGACAATATTTCCCTCTTCCAAAAATAACAAAATGAAACAGGGGCCCTACGTTTGATTGATAACGGTGAATGAGACAGTGTCTGATAGAGAAAGTAGAAACATAAATATCCTTGGTACGATGCGGGTCTTTCTTTTATACATAAAAACTGTTGTAAACAAAATGGCACAGTGACTGAACCGGAGTGAGCTGTTTCATTAAAAGCATAGTTAAGTCTGAGATGGTCTTATGGGTCCGCATGAGACAACCCGTCCCATACATGTGAATATGTGATCATTTTTTTGCTTCAAAATGTTGTAATTTAATTTGTCTATATCTATAATAGACTTTTTTTTGGTCAATATCTATAAGTTTGGAGGTTATACAGCCCAATTTCTCTATCTATAATAGACTTTAGAAGTTCGTTTTTTAAAGGATTTTATTGTCGGCATCTATGTGATACTTCTTCAAGTTAGATAAAATGAAAGAGCAAACTCGGGCCTCAAAAGTGATCAGATAGTATCAGATGCAAAGTAATAGGATTTACAGAGAGAACTGTAAAATACGAGACCAAGGCCTTATTTACACACACAAACACACATCAAATCTAGAATGCATCACAGCTTTTCCTACATTACAACTCCACACGGTAGAAACGAACTAGTTTCATGTTCTGCACTCTCTCCTCCTGCATTCCACAATTTTGTCTAATCATTTACCACAAAGTTATCACGGTACAATCATATGTTTATGTGTAATTAGTATTACCTGACCCTTGACAGATCCTTCATCCGGCTGCGGAAAATGAAAACCTGTTGAGCAATTCTCCAACTTCTCAGGATTTTTCACCCATGCTTTTCTACCTTCACTCACTTTCACACCAAATCTCCAAGTCTTCCCACATCGCATACATATACATATATTTAGAATTAAACCCATTGAGAAGAAAAAAACGCTCTTTGAGTAAGTGAATTAATTAGATACCTGAGAAAGCGGAAACGTGTCTCTCTCAATCAAATCTCCTTCAATGTTTATACCAGTGCCTTGGCATTCAGGACAGAACACTGAGAATATTTGCCAGCTCACATCTCCAACCAACCCATTCCACTTCACACCACTCTGATGCTTTGTGCATCTCTTTTTGCCTTTCCCACTAACCATCTTGTTCCCAAGTATTTCACTCTCACAGAAGAGGAACCAGTGTACCACACAAGACACGTGAAATAGGTGGAACGCACCAAGGAGGTTTCTGCTACCACACACAAGCTTTCCTGTCCTAGTGTTCAGTATTGCCGCCGCGTCTTTCCCAGGAAGCATCTTCTGCTTACAGACTTCGCATATCCTTTCAGAAAATATCCTCTGCTGCTTCCTAAGCTCCCTTCTCACCGTTTTGTTCTTGATGACTCTCTTGCTCACGAGATGATCATCATAATTAGCTAGTAAAGCTCTTGAGCCACGAGCTGAAGAAACCTCCTCAGAAGAGTCATCCTGACTACACAGAGAATCACTTGTATCCTCTGGATCCGAAAAGGACTTCTTTCTCTTCCTTCCACTATCTTCCCCGTTCCCTGACTCTGACGTCAGAAGACGGCTCGGATGGTCGAGCAAACCCAACCTACCCAAATTATAAAAGTAGGAGAACGTAACAATAGCAAAGTCATGCTCTGGTACAACAGCCTTCTCCTCATCCTCAGGACCGTCTTTTCCTAACCACTCACACCATAACTTATCAATCCAAGTCGTACGTCCTTTCGTTTCAAACAACCTAGCAGCAATACGTCCAAAGCCAATAAACTTAGCTTCCACATCAAGTGTCCTCTCCTTGATCAACAAACCAGAGATCAACAGATCATCTGCACAGTGTCCAACTTCATCATCAGCAGGTTGATCATCTCGAGCTCCATCATAAACAACAATATCTAATCTTCCACCATCACTGCAAAGCTGCAAAGGACCAGCTTCACCACCAAAAGAGATCAACTTTTTCTCCTCTTCTTCCGTCGAACTATCGAAGAAAAGAACCCCATCATTGAAAGGCCACGGATTTTCACCAAGAAGTGTGATCTTAGCACAAGACAACCTCTCCTTATGAAGATTCCCGTTCAAATGTCCAAGCAAGATTGCATCACTGTAGCACGGAGCAAGGCACAAAGTGCAGAAGAAGACGAATCTCTTCCCATCCTCACGTAACTCAATGTAAGTGTGACCTTGTGCTCTTAAATTCCTCAGAGTAGTTCTCGCTAACTGCTCTTTCAAGCTAATAACAGTCTTTTGAAACCCTAATTCTTTCTTCTCAGACATTTTAATGACTCAGCAAAACACAAACAACAACAACAAAAAAAAAACCCTAAAAATCCACAATTCTTCCAAACAAACCCTAATTCCACTAGAAGCTTCGAGAACACACAATTTCTTCGGGAATTACGATCAGATCTCGAAATTCAGATGCGAGGTTAAAAGAAAAAGAAGCTTAACAGAATATAAATCCACATATTCGAGGCGTACACGGAGCAGGACTAGGTTTCATTCTCACACCGGAAATTAGGTCAACGCGAGGGGAGGAGCGATGAAGATGGAGAGAAGATCTCGAGTCCATCGCCAACATTATTATCCACGCGGAGCTCGCGACACAAAAATTCTCTCTCTCTCTCTCTCACACACACACTCTTTGGATTCGGAGAAGAAACGACAGAGAAAAAGTGGTTTCAGAGCGATGGTTGAGGAGGAGAAGAAGAAAGAAAGATGAAGTTAACCGAAACTTTTAATTCTTTGTATTTAATAAATCACGGGGAGAAGGGTGTGTGTCATCAGATATTATAACCGTTGGATTTGAGGTGGGGAGGTTATGAACGGTTGAGATGTGGAGATTCGAATATTTTTAGAAATAGATGCTCGTCCCCCGATGTTGTCGCGTGTATGGATGGATAAGCTTCATCTTTTTAATTAATTAAAGATTAAATGAACTTAGTTTAATCGATTTTAAATTCGAGTGCTTATCTTTTTCTATTTCTTCGACGTTCGTCACCTAAGTTTTGTTTCGACATTTTACACGCACATCTTGTGTGAAAAATTAACACACGCAAATCTCGTTTTATTGTTTAGGCATGTAGAGTTTACCATCTTCTGATAATTCTTTTTTTTTTTTATCTCAAATATAGATTTCTTCTTTTCTTTTTTGGGTCAAATATTGATCTCTTCTCTGTTTATTTTTTAATCATACAACGAGATTCAAACTTTTTATTTTCTGGAGTCAAATATAGATCTCTTCTTTGTTTATTTTTAAATCATATAACGAGATTCAAACTTTTGTTTTATTATATGAAGAATAATACGTCGACAAAAAAAAAATATGAAGAATAATACACCTAAATCTTGTTTATTGTTTATGCCATCAAGACAACATACATAATGTACATGTATAAATTATTGGGGTTTTTCATTTGTCTAATCTTGTTCTTTCAAATATATATCTCATCTACGTTTATTCTTAATCATATAAGGAGATTGAACCATGGAGTCATTAACATTATAGTTTAAATTTGTTCTACATTCTAAGTTTTCATGTACAAAGAAAATTATCTGTGTGTTTCTGGATCAGTAATACAGCTATTGCAAAACAGATCAGTTCGTTGTTGTGTAAAATGGTAATTGTTGGTTCATTTCCATCTGGTTTAGTACTCCATGCCAAATAAAGGAGCTAAACGAGTTGAGCTGGAACCAGGCTAAACGAGTTGGGCTGAAACACGTTGTTGGGATCCGGGAGAAGTATTTTAAAGGCCCAAGATACACTTGGTTCGCATAAGTTGATAAGACTGGTCCTTCCTTCTTGTGCTGTTTTCTTCCAGACTAATCACACATCTCTATTAAGAATAAGATTAGCAATCCTCTCACCTCAGTGAATTACAATGTTTTTTAAAACTAATCATCTTTATACTTTGCAATCTCAAAGCGTATTATCATAGTATTACATTCTCTTTCTGCGATAAATATAACAAAATAAAAATTAGTTGGTTGGCATAGACTTAAGAAATTACATAGAAAAAAACAAAACTCACTAAAATAACCGGAAGGAAAGGGACAAGAAGCATTTGGTACCACGTGACCACCCAATAAACGGCTAACACGCCATCAACCCCCTCGTGGATGGATTCAACTCTAGACTCTGGGAAGCTCCCATGCAAAGAATCATCTCATTGTTGTTATCCTCTCACGTGCAAGGAAAAAACAAACGTATAAAGAGACAAATTAAAATCTTATAAAAACAAAGTTACTTATCGCTAAGATACAATAAAGGTGGGGCCCATCATTAAGGGAGTCCATAATTGAGACAAGAAGTGTGTGACTCATCTTAAGGATAAGTCCCTCTAAGGCCACCACCTGGATCCCACTGATACACTGCATGGTATCGCATATTTTTAGATTTTTTCTAAATTTACCATTTTAACCCTTAATCCACTGCCCCTTTGGCTATAAGTACATACCTCACCTTCCCTTTATCTTCCGACAAAATATACTAATATCTCTCCACAAAACACAGAGCTTCTCAAACACTTTAAAGCTTCCCAGATCTAAAGAAAGAAAGAAAGTTTGTACTAACAAGATGACTTATCTAAACAAGATTTGGATGGCAGCATCTCTCGTGGCTGTTCAAGGAAACCCAGAGCACGGCGTCAAGTTGAAAACCGGTCTCACCTCCGCCCACCGCCTTCAACGCCGTCTTTCCGCCGATCTCCGGCCTCTCGCCGCCGCAGATGTCCATGCTGACGGTGTTCCTGCGGATGATAGACGACGTACCTCTTCTTCGGCTCCTGATGAATCTCTCCGTCAGGTCATGTACCTAAACTGCTGGAGCCAAGGCTGATTTTTAACTCCCATCATCCATCCATAAATGATGATGTTGACTCGCTCATGGACCCGCTGAGTCGGACAAAACGAGTCGGATTCTCTGATGATAACTGTATATAGTTTGTTCGTTTGTTATGGACTTGTAGTAGCCCCTCTTATCTTATGTGAATAGTAGAAATGTTCAAAACGATCAAAAGCAAGCGTTAGTCTATGAGAATAGTGTTTATGTTTTAATCTTGAAGTTCTCATTAAAATCTTCTCAAATCTTTGGGAAAAAAAAGTCTTCTCAAATCTTGATTGTGTTACCACTAATTCGACTTTACCACAGGGAATTTGATTCTCAATTAAATATTAATCCCATAAGACTCCAAACCATCGTTATCACATGGGTCCAGACAAGTCGGTCACTATTAATACTAGTTGCATACTCCCCGCGCAAGCGCGGGACCGGAATCATTATGTTTGCGTATATTTTTTTCGATTTAGTGGTTTAGTGGATTCTTCTAATGACACCAAATATTAATGAAATGGAAAGAATGTAGTAAGAGTGTAAAGTGAAAATATTGTATATCTAATGTGTTAAATGTTATTTATATGCGAAACAAGGTTTATAGGAATAATTAGGTTATAATATAGTTTTTAGTGTGTAAAAGTAGGTGTCTATTTTTTTTTTGCTGTAAACAGTTTTTATATCGTATGTCAAAACTTGATATAATTCTATATTTATAGTATTTATATTTGTATTAAACGATTTATCAATTTAAAAATAAGCTTAATTAAGTTAATATTCGTTGTTTAAGTTTCATTAGATATGTTTTTATATATGGTTTTTTGTAAGTTTGGGTTTTGTTCATAAAAGTAGAATAATATAGTTTTTTAGTGTAAATAGTTTTTAGTTTTTAATATAGTTTTTAGTGTGTAAAAGTAGGTGTCTATTTTTTTTTTTGCTGTAAATAGTTTTTATATCGTATGTCAAAACTTGATATAATTCTATATTTATAGAATTTATATTTGTATTAAACGATTTATCAATTTAAAAATAACCTTAATTAAGTTAATATTCGTTGTTTAAGTTTCATTAGATAGGTTTTTATATTTGGTTTTTTGTAAGTTTGGGTTTTGTTCATAAATGATGGGGCATTTTTATCTACGGCGTCATCGACTGTGGGAATCCATTCGCCGAAGTCTGGAGTCGGTGGTGAGGAATGTTTTCAATGAAATTATAGTAGTTATTAAAATGTAAGAAATTACATACTCATTTAATAAATAACGAAAAATACTTAAATTTTGTTGTTTATTTTATTTTATTTCACATACAAATTTTTTGAAAATATATTAGGAATGAGTTAAATGTTATTTATATGCGAAGTAATGTTTATAGGAATAGTTAAGCTATAATATAATTTTTACTGTGTAAAAGTAGATGTTTTTTTTTGCTGTAAATAGTTATTATATCGTAGGTCAAAACTTGATATAATTCTATATTTATAGTATTTATATTTGTATTAAACGATTTATCAATTTGAAAATAACCTTAATTAAGTTAACATTCGTTGTTTAAGTTTCATTAGATAGATTTTTATATATGGTTTTTTGTAAGTTTGAGTTTTGTTCATAAATGATGTGGCATTTTTATCTACGGCGTCATCGACTGTGGGAATCCATTCGCCGAAGTCTGGAGTCGGTGGTGAAGAATGTTTTCAACGAAATTATAGTAGTTATTAAAATGTAAGAGAAATTACATATTCATTAAATAAATAACGAAAATAATTAATTTTTGTTGTTTTTTTTATTTAATCGCACATACAATTTTTTTGAAAATATATATTAGAAAATATGTACAATGATTTCATTTTTTGAACTCTTAATCTATATTATTCAAGCCTCATTAAGCCATCTACGTAGGTAGCCGCGTGGGATTCATTTTTTTTTTGGTCGGTTCGTTTTTGGATTCATTTTTTATTATTTTGGGTTGAACTATATTATAATAGGATAGTTTTAAGGCTCTTTAAGCCATCCGCGTAGGCAACCGCGTGAGACTTGTTTTTCTTTTTTTTTTTATTGTTCGTTTTTGCATCCATTTTTAACTATTTTTTGTTTGAACTCGTTAAGCTTTAAGGTTTATCCAACTATTTTGATCTTTAAAACAATAAGCCATAAAAAAAAAACATAAAAACCTTATAGACAAAAAGCACATATGATAATAACCCAAATAAAAAATAAAAATTAAATGATGGCTGCGTGATTTGAACCCACGATCTTGCATGCTTAATTAGACACCTTATACCACTTGGCCAAAGTGTATTTCATTGTTTGTAATCATCTTACCAAGACTATAAATTTTTAAAAAATACCTACAGGACCCACAAAATTGCTGACGTGGCGCATTGTGGAGCCTTGAAAGTCTACTATTATAATATAGACTAGGGATTAATCCGCGCTACGCGCGGACCTATTTAATTTTCAAATGTTAACTATTTTATTTTTGAAACACAACTTGCATTAATTCATAAACTCAAAGGTAGGTGTTGATAGATGTTGTATATTTACCAGCCTTGCATTATTATTTATTTCAGAATACAAAATGTATTCACATATTTACTTATTATTTATTTTACTATACATTTTTCAGATATATTTTTAATTTAGTTTTCTATTTTTATATTGTATATTTAATTATTCTTTATTTTTTATTGTATATTTACTTATTCTAATATTGCGATAGATGTTTAATATTGATTATTTATTTTACCATAAATTTTTCAAATAGGTGTTAATTTTAATTTTTACATTTATTATTGTATGCTTACTTATTTTTTTTGTATATTGTATAATTACTTACTCTGTTTTCTTGTTTTTACATCAAATAATAATATTGCGACAGA